ATCAGTAATTACTATCATCTTACCCACACACACCAAATTAAAATTCCCTCATTACAAATAATTTCATTCAGGTGGGTATGGGGGCGCATGTCTTTAATCCCAGCTCTTGGGAGGCTGAGACAAATCTCTGTGAGTTTCAGACTAGCCTTGTCTATATCCTGAGCTTCAAGCCAATCAAGGTTACACAGTGAGATGTCGCAAAAAACAAACAAAACAACTGCAAAATCCAAATGATCTCATATGGTTTTACTATCTCTAATATTCTGGTAATTTTAGTTCTTTTACTCAAATCAGATCTCTTTCATGAAATCTAATCTATTAGCTTATTTTTATGGCAATTAAATACCTCCATGACATTTGACTAAAAATCTTACAGTTAGCTTTGAATACCTGTTTTTGCCTTTTAAAAGTTACTTGATCTAGTAGCACATAAAAACATTACTATAATTCATAGCTTCTGTAAAGTGGAAATGTGCACTCTAACTCTGAAAGCTGTTATGAAGATTAAAGGAACAACGCACATAAAGGGCTTGGCTCAGTATACCTATGTGGTAAGGGCTCAAATGGTAGCTGTTTTTATTTTTATTGCTTCTACTCACACATTCCCAAATACCTGAAGAGTCATTTGCTATTCTCTTCTATTAATTTCCCTCAAATCCCAAACTTGATGAAACTTCTGTTCTCTTTATTGTGGAGGACTCTACTTCTTGCTAAATACTTGCTACCTCAACCTAAAGTAAAATTATCCCAATCCATTGGTGGTCAATGAAATATGGAGGGCAGCATGTACTTGAATATAATTCCAGTAACAACCTATAGGCTGGTCTTCAATGAAGATAATGCAGGCAAAGCCACAGTAAACCTGTGAAGGACATGCAGTGTGAACAATAAAACTTGACTTACTGGGTTTAAGAAGATATTACCATAAAATTATCTTACTTATCCTGATCAGCAAGGGGTGGCTCAGTGAGTTGTCTTGCCATCCACCCAAATACTCACATAAAATGCCATAGAGAATTTTTTTTAATTTTTAATAACTACATGATTAGAAGAAGCATTTCATTACAGCTTTAACATATTCAGTAACACACTCCAGAGCAAGAGTACATCTCTTTCACAAGTGGGTGCAAGTTTCTAGGTTCACAGTTGAATTAATACAGTTATACAATATTGAACTCAGTATAAGCCCTGTAAGACATAAAAACTGAATGAGTTTTTAACCTTTAAAAAAGATCTCCATTTCATTTTAGAATAGATTGTTCCTTGCAGAAAGACTCATTGTTTTTGCTATTAACACTGAGATGTTGGCGCATGCATCTCTAATCTGCCTTATAGAATTTTTATTCTCCCAGAGTTTGTTCTATGAATTGTTTATCAATTCTAGTGTCTCTCAAAGTGTTAGTAATTAATTGGACCTAATGTTGTTCTTTGAGAATTTCAGGTAATCAAAAGCTTCTTTCAATGTTATCAGCTTCTCTGTGTTGTCTCTTAGTCTCTACTATAAAGCAAAATCCCATGGATACAAATTAGAAAGTACAAGTTATAAAATAATAAGAGATTAACTAAATGGAGGTTATGATTAAGAAGCTTGACAGGCCATGTTGAGTGGTTTTGCTTCTGTTTTTCATGCTGGGATCAAATCCGGGCCCTACCACATGCTAAGCACATGCTCTACTACCAAGCTACATACCAGCTCCAGCTTGTAACCAACATCTTAAGAATATTCAATCCATTCAAAAATAAATTCATGCAAGTTAGAGAAGGTGAATTCAAATTAGGAAACTGTTAAGGTTCAAGAGAAACTTCTGAACTTCTGATGATGGCACTGGATATATAGCTGGGCATTCCACTTTGGTGAAGCATCTAATTCCCTAAAACTGACCTAATCTGGAGTTTCTAACAGCATCACAATCACTCCCGTGTTTTACTTCCTCTATCACAAGAGGATATAATCTCAAACCAAACATAAATCTTAGTACATAAGATCATGTACTTTGGAAGAAGCTTGGCTGTTTTTTACAAAGTTAAACATTGTTTCATAATGTGATCCAAAATTCATTCTCTTAGCACTCAAAAGCCTGCACATGAATGTTTAAAGCAACTTTATAATTGTCCAAAAAACAGAGATAGCCTTCAATAGAGGACTAGATAAATGACCTAGCCTAGAGTATACATACAATGGTGTACTGTTCAATAATAAAACAGAAATGAGCTATTAAACCTGTCTATACTATTATTGTGAAGTGATAGTAACCAATCTGAAAAGGCTACATAGGTATGGATTCAATTACATGACCTTCTGGAAAAGACAGATATACAAAAGACAGTAAGAAGATTAGTGACTGCCAAAAGTTCAGGGACAGTGAAGAGTGAATGCTGTATAACACAGGACTTTTTAGAGTGGTGAAACTTTATGATTATCATATATTACGTCAAAATTCACAGGACTACAGAACACCAAGAAGGAACCTTAACACTGTCATAGTCTCAATAATGATGTTTTGGTCACTGAAGGACTACATATATGATGGTGGTGGTGTTAGTATTATCTAATGATGTCAGATTGGTTGTAATTCGTATGTTAATATTTAACACTAATATGTTAAAGGAAATCATCAAAGAAGTAAAATATGAGAAGATTCCATATTGCAGATCAATTTTCTTAACAAGCCTAAAATTGCTCAAAAAAAAAAATTTACTGTATGCACAAGACCTATGTAAACGCAAAACAGACAAAAACCCAACAGAGAAGTGGGGAAATGGGTAAGAAGTCCCAACTTTAGCTGAGGAACTATTGGGAGCCAATCACTGTTGGGTGAGGGAGAGTTGGAGTTCTTTAAGGGAGTGATGATATATAGGCTGACCAGGCTCTGGTGGATGAACTCACTCACACCAAGGGACATCTGGGTACACAAACTTGACTTGATAGGCCTTAACATATATGACAGAATGCATGAAATCCAGTGAGGGGGTATTGGGGGAGGTACAGATAGGGAAAAGAGGTTTAAATATGATTAAGATATATGAGGGAATGGAGAAATGGCTCAGTGGTTAATAGCATTGGCTGATCTTGAAGAGGACCTGGGTTTGAATCCCAGCACCCACATGGTGGCTAGCAACCATCCATAATTCTAGTTCCAAGGAACCTGATGCCCTTCTTCTGACCTCTGTGGGCACTGCACAATACAGGTACACTTACGTACATGCAGGCAATACATTCATACACATAAATTTTTTTTTAAAAAAGATGTACTGTATGAAATGCGCACAAATGCAATAAAAAATATTAAAAAGTTTTTAGTATAACATGACACTATGAAACTGTTTCATGCAAAAAATTATTTAAAATATCATATAAAATTAACTTTGTGTGTTAATAAGTTATGTATGAAATATATACCAGAGCAAATATAGTGAATAAAAACAGAAATTAATGAGGAGATAGTTAATCTTAACAGGCAAATATAAGAAACATAATTTGATCCCAAGACACACAACAGAAATTATCCCATTTAGTGTAATATTCCCAAGTAAGTCAAGAGATAAAATGAGCTGTTCCTGTGAAATTTCCACACCATTCTTACATATAACACTTTTCTCTGTCTGTAGCTGTTTTTGAGTTTGCTGCTTTACCCAAGCACCAAATGTGATGTTATATCTCTGCAGGCAAGCTCTAACTTGGCATACCAATAAAGTTTTTGTCTGTTTGTTTGTTTGAGATAGGGTCTCACTATGTAGCCCTGACTGGCTGGCCTAGAACTTGCTATATAGATCAGGCTGGCCTCAAACTCACAGAGATCCACCTCCCTTTGCCTCCTAAGTACCAGGATTAAAAGCATGTGCCACCATGCCCAGCTCAGCAAGTTCTTGAGTTAAAGAAATGGCTGCTGTCAAGTTTGTTATCTGTCTACCTCTAATTACTATAGATTTTTGTTTAGATTTCATATGCTATACCACACAACTACTGGGCCACTCTCGGATTTTTACTTTAGTATGCATCTTTAATTATTTTTCTTTCTAGCATTCTGATCCACGTGTACTGTAACTGTCTCTACTGATTCCAATCCTTTTTGGCATATCTAGTTTCTTTAGCTTTTAATTTATAACCAGCAAACATTTACTGAGCTGTTTTAGGCTCATTTTTACCTTAGTTTAAACTACTCTAAGAAGATATAATATCTACATATTTTAGATAAGTAAACATACTAGAATCTTTAAAAACTGGGGCAAATCCAAATTTATCAAGTAAGTTTGGTATCTGTTCATCTTTAGCTCTTTCCCTACTACTTAGAATTTGAGGCCTTTTCTACTTTTCAAAACTATTGTTTTGCTTTTTTTTCCTAAACCCTACCAAAAACTATTCTCTAAACCTCAAGGTTTCACCCAATTCTTTAACTCTTATTCTAGGAGTTTCTTTTATTTCCAGATCCATTTTCTACATTTATCTGTACCACTAGTAGAGCAACCCTGATGCTCAAGATCTCAAGATATTTCTACCAAAGGAATCTTTTTTAGGAGAGAAACAAGTCTCCAGGCATTGTGGTGATGTTTCAGCCTGGGGCTGTTGTCAGCCCTTTTGCAGAATATACAGCTATAGAAACTAGGGCAATGTATGTAATTAACCGATTAATTTTATGTATTTTATATATTTAACTCATTCTTTTATATATTCAAGACAACTTGAAACCAGTAATTGGCTTCAGGTAGCAAATGCTAACAGAAATCAGAGAATCTCATGAAAGTAAATGAATATCTGACATATCTGATTATGTGGGGGCGGGAATCTAAGGTAGTAAAATGAAGCTGATACTAAAAGGCATGTGAGCACATGTAAAAATTAAAACTAAGGCCTAACATTGTTTCTTGCCAGACAGAAAAATCTAGAACCCAAGCCCATCATTACTCTTTTCAATGGCAAAGACAGTAGTCCCTTACATTAAAAAAAAAAAAAAAATTCATACTTGTAAGACAGAAGGAATTAAACATTTCAGTTTCCTTACCTGTTGTGTTCCATCTGCACTTACAATAGGAGCAGACAGAAGAGAAATGTCGCTACTTAAAATCTGAGTTGTATCCAGCAGTGGTGGGTGTTCTGCCATTATCAATAAGGCATTAATATACCAGATAACCCTCCAACTCTGCAAAACAAAAATACACAGTCATTTATGTATATATTCTTAAAATATATGAAAATGCACCCAAAATGGGCATAATGGTACATGCCTTTAATCCCAGCACTCAAGAAGCAGAGGCAGGTGGATCTTTGTGAGAACAAGGCCAACCTTGTGTACATAGTGAGTTCCAGGACAGTCAGGGTTACATAGTAAGATTCTGTCTCAAAAAATCAAAAACAAAAATACAGTCAAGAATTATCTCATTGTTTAACATTTTGTCAAAGGAAAACCAAAAATACTATTTTGACTTTATTTGGTCAACCCTCAGGAAACTGTATTTCTTAAAACCTTTAACTAACTAAAGAAGTTGTAAAGTAAGATATAAAGCTTATCCTGGAAGCAGAACTTCTATTTAAATTCACATCTGCTTCTCCATCCCTTCTATCTCAAGATAAAGTTTATGTAATTTAACTTTCACTATTTAATGTACACACTGATATAGGTAGGAAACTACAATGGCTGAATGAGGCTTTACCTCTGACATTTTTCTTTGAACAAAGTAATTACAAAAGACCCAATCTCCCTCATCATCCTGTTTGCCTTGAGGCACTACACAAAAGCAATTACGATTTTCCATTGAATCCTTACACAAAAATAAAACAGTAAAAATGCCTGCTCAGGATTAGGACAAGATCTTCAACTCTAAGTTTTAAGCTTTTATATTACTCATTTATCTGCTGTTATTAGATACCAACTTTAAAACAAGCAAGCGTAAATAGTCTAAACATGTGCCCTCATTACTTATATATATTGTAACCATCTTCTCAGTCTGGGCAGAACTGCAAGATTCCATCTCTTATAACAAAGAGAAGGAAAGACGAAAGAGCATTTAGAACTCTTTAAACTGTAGATACATTCTCACTCATACACAAAGAAAAGATGTAATGGCAGGCAGTATACTATAGTCTATGCAATGAGAACCAATAAAACATCAGCAAAGTACATTTCAAGATGAGCAAATTGAACACAATCATAGCTATAATTAATATTTATTATTTTATTACACAATTAATAATTATAATTTAATAACTATAATAATATAATAATTCTATGCTGAATTATAAAATAAACCTCTTTGGATGCTTACAGTATTCGCCATTTCAATGGTAAGAGTCAAGATACTCAGTTTTCTTAAAACTCATGTTCTTTATTTTAAATTCTTTTTTAACATTTTATTTATTATTTTCATTTCATGTGTATGAGTGTATTGCCTGTGTGTGTATAAGTGTACCCACGTCGTGCAATGCCTGCAGAGATCAGAAAAGGGTGTCAGATCCTGTGGAACTGGAGTTACTGACAGTTGTTAGCTGCCATGTGGGTCTTGGGAATCAAACCGGAGTCCTCTGCAAGAGCAGCCGGTGATCTTAACCTCTGAGCCAGCCCTTTTAAGTTCTTAAATCTTCACAGAAATGTTCACATAAGTTGATTTAATTTGAAAAAACATTTTCCACTTAGATATATTAAAAGCTGCTTTAAGACTTTAAAAAATAACATTCAACACAGGTACTTATTGAAGAGTTCATTTGAACCCACAATAAGGGTTATGAATAAATAATAATATAAATTATATCATTTAACTGTTTCATGAAAGTGCATTTCACTTAAATATAATGCTTGTTATACCCACACATATAAACAAATTAACTTTTGGCATAATTTGCATTATTAGGTTTCTTAAAGACTAGCAAAGTTTCTGAATACTTTAAATCATGTCAAATAATTTCTCTGTGGGATTTATGAAGAATTAGAAGACAGCAAAGTGTCACTGTGTTATTTTCACTCTTAAATGCCTCACAGTTTTGAATAAGACACATTGCCAAAGTAAGTTCAGGATTAAAGAGAGATTTTGCAAATAATGCATTTTTGTTCCTCCCTTTCTTCCTCACTCACTCTTTATTTTCCTTTCTCTCCCTGCTTCCCCCTTCCTTTCTTTCTCTTTGTTATACCTGGGATGAACTTTTATTTTAAGAGATAGAATCTTGCAGTGCTGCCCAGACTGAAAAGATGGTTACAACATGTATAAGTAATGAAGAGCACATTTATAGACTATTTACAAATATCTTGTAAGTTGATTTTTAAAAAAGAATGTAAAAAAAAAAACTTTAATATGGTCTTCATAAAAAAGTAAATTCAAGAGTCCAATAAACATAAACTATTTAAAAATCATTAAGTGATAGGAAAAAGTAATTTAAAGTATAATAGCATATGACTGTGTATCTATTAAGATGATCAAAAGTGTAAAAGGCTGACAAATGGTAGCAAAGCTATGGAATAACTGATATATTCATAAAATCACTTTGAAAAACCTTTCACAGTATCAAACAAAGTTTTTTTGTGGTACTGGAGACTGAAGCCATGGCCTTGCTTGTGCTAGGTAGGCACACTACCACATACATATGCAGGCTTATCTACCAAAATTGAACAAATGCACAGTCTATGCTCAGTTAATGATCCAACTAAAAAGAGTCATAGTATATGCAAAAAAGTAGTGCATGTATATTTGACCAAAAAACAAGTTAGAACAAGAAAGTTCAAAGCAGATGATTTTCTAATAGTCCTTTAAAGCCATATATAACCCAAATGCCCCCTTAGAAATCGACTAATCCATTCAATGGACCAAACAAAAATTAGTGATACAGAGATTATAAAATTTTAGAAATACAATGAAAGTGAAAAGAAAACAAACAGAAAGACACATCTCCTAGACAACTTTCTAGGAAGTTCAAAAGCATATAAAATAAAATAGATAAAATCAATTTATTATTAAAAGTCAGTATGCAGGTTGCCTTTGAGGAGGAGTTAAAGATGGGGACAGGAGGTAGTTTCTGGGATATGGATTTTCTTTGGCCTGGAAAGCTGTTACATGGCTAGTCCACTGAATTACTAACTGAGCTGTATGCTCATCATATATGTACTTCTCTGTATGTATTATAGTTCAATAAAATAATGTTTGAGCTGAGGGTGGTGGCACACCCTTTTCCAATACCTGGAAGGCAGAGACAGAGGCAGGTGGATTCTTTTGAGTTCGAGGCCAACCTGGAAAATGTGTGAAAGTTGAAATGATCACATGATCAACCAAAATCTTTCAGTAAAAGCATCTGACAAATTAAAACATTTATTTATGAAAAAAAACAGAAACAAAAACTGGGAACACAAGAATCTGTCTCAGTGTAATAAAAGAATATATACAAAAAGACTGTGGAAGATTAGACTTAACTGAAGACTGGAAGCTTTGCTTCAACATCAGGAAATGATAAGGATGCACATTTTATTATTTAGAATTTTATTTATTATTTAGAATTTTATTTCAAAGAGAATTTCACTTATACCATCTCCATTTGCTCCGTCCCCCTCTTCTTGATTTTCTAAGACCATGGTTTATTTAAATTAAATGATTTGAGATTTCTCTGATTTTTTTTTAATTATATGACTTTCTGGCTATAAACTTCCCTCTTAGAAATGTTTTCGTTAGGGGCTGGGGAGATGGCTCACTGGGTAAAGTGTTTGCCATGCAAGCAAAAGTAACTGAGTTCGTCTCTCCAGCACCCACATGAACACCAAGCATGGCAGTGCATCTGTAACCCCAGTACTGGGGGAGGGGAGGAGTGGAGACAGATGGATTAGGATCCCAGATATTCCCTGGCTAAACAATCTGGCAGAAACAGTGAGATAGGTTCAGTGAGACTATCTCAAAAATTAAGGGATAGATGTCAATCTCTGGTCTCCACCTGCACACTCATGGCAAGTGCATCTGCACACACATGTGCACACATATGCACATAATACCCCCACACCCCCCAAAGAAATGCTTTCATTGTATCCTACAGATTATTTTACCTTGTGTTTCTATTTTTACTCAATTCTAGGATTTAAAAAATCCTAGGATTTTTTTTTCAATGGCCCATTTAATAATGTGCTGTTCAAGGTCCATAAATTTGTATGTGTTCTGTAATTTCTCTTGCTGTTGATTTTTTAGTTTTATTCAACTCTAATCAGATAGAATATAAAAATTTTCTATTGTCTTATACTTGGTCAGACTTGCTTTGCATTTTAAAATGTGGTCCTTTTCAGAGAAATTCCATGGGCTTCCAAGAATGTGTATTCTGTATGAGTGCAGTATTGTGTTGCTCTGGTAAGTCCATTTGATTATATAATTTAACTGTTTGTTGATTTTTCTTTTTCTTGTCTGTATGACTGGTCTACTGGTGAGAGCAGAGGACTTACGTCACCCAATACCACAGTACTGAGATCAGTATGTGCCTTTATATCCAGTGGCATTTGTCTTATGAAACTGGATGCACCTATGTTCAGTGCCTACATATTTAGAACTGGAATATCCTCTTGATATTAATATCCCTTAAACAATATGAAATGACCTTGTTTATCTCTTCTAATTTTGGTTAAAATCTGGAACATTACTATAGGCCTACATCAGCTTGTTTTCCAATTCCTTTTACTTGGAATATCTTTACCACCCTGTATTAGTCAGGATTCTCCAAAGAAAGAACCAGTAGAATGAATATGTATGTATAGAGATTTATCAGCTAAGCTCAGAGGATAGAGTCCGAGTAGTCCAACAATGGCTGCACCACAATGGAGAGGCTGAGAATCTGTAGTCGCTCAGTCCACAAGGCTGGATGTCTCAGTAGTCCCAATCTGGCGCTGAAGGTCTGACAAATTCGAAAAGATCAGCTAGTCTTCAGTCTACGGCAGCAAGACGAACTCACCAGCAAGAGAGAAGGCAAGCAGCAAGAAGCCTGGCGTTCTCCTCTGCCTTGGTCTTTTATACCTGCCATCAGAAGGTAACACCCACATTTAGGTTGTGTCTTCCGGCTTTAGATGATCCAATCAATAAGATCTCTTTCATTTCCGTTAATCCCAGATCCAGTCAAGTTGACACCCAGGATTAGCCATCACACACCCTTTTACCCTAAGGTTGTGTTTGTCTTTGACAATGAACTGTG